ACACCTCAATTCTTGAGAGTCATGCAATGGCTGCTTCAGACATCCCCAACCTTGGGCAGATCAACCTAGGATGGCATTGGCTAGAGCCTGTCCCTCTCATCCTGTTCTGGAAGGATCTAAGTTAGGACATTGTGTGCTCAGAACAGAATTCCCATGTTTAGGACCACTTGTCCTACCCACCTCTCCAGCTCCAAGGACTTCCCTTCTGAATGGTCATTCTCAGCCAGCCTCCAAAGTCCAAAACAGCGCCCTCGGGTGGACAATACTAATGTTCCTCCTCTAGGAGAACCACAGAACTTAAACAGCGCCCTCCAGTGGACAATATGGATGTTCTTCCTCCAGGAGGACCACAGATCTCAAACAGTGCCCTCCAGTGGATGGCCCAGGCATGGCAGAAGAACCCATGCCAATTCTACAGTTACAAAGTTGGGGTATGGATTTTGTGAAAGAAATGGGGCGCCTTCCAAATCTGAATATTTTGGATGTGTTTCAGACATGAGGTGGCAGAGACAAAGGAAGGTGTCACGGCACTCAGCAGATAGGCGCTGTCCCCAAGTACCTCTTCTCCCTTCTTTCTATTAAGACAGCCAAAGCTGTCTTACCCACAAGATGGCTTAGTGGGTAAAGGGGCTTGCCACCAAGAGCTGCGTTCCATCCTCAGGACCCATGTGATGGAAGGAGAGAGCTGACTCCCACGGGTTATCTTCTGATCTCTCCACACATGCACACAAAATAACTAAATAAAATGTCATTAAAACGTCTTAAATGAGCCAGGCGTTGGTGGTGCATACCTTTAATCCAAGCACGAGGGAGGCAGGCAGATCTCTGTGAGTTCGAGACCAGCCTGAACTACCAAGCAAGTTCCAGGACAGGCTCCAAAACAATACAGAGAAACCCTGTCTCAAAAAACAAAACAAAACAAGCCGGGCGTTGGTGGCGCACACCTTTAGTCCCATCACTCGGGAGGCAGAGGCAGGCGCATCTCTGTAAGTTCGAGACCAGCCTGGACTACCAATCGAGTTCCAGGACAGCCTCCAAAGCCACAGAGAAACCCTCTCAAAAAACCAAAAAAAAAAAAAAAACAACAACAACAACAACAAAGTCTTAAATGTAGATCAATCCGGACATCCAAACAAAGTCAATATATTTCAAACAATTACGATATTAGAACTATTCTTTGGCCAGTAATATGGAAACTCAAATACTGTGTCAGTTTGCAGAAAATGCCTTAAAAGGAGCAGGAATGCTGTCCAGTGTTTCCTCCATCCTGTTTTTGGTAACGCGCGTGTGATGGCTGATATTCCAGGAGCCTTACTACACCACGAGGTGGGAGTCACTTGCTGAAGACGCTAAAGCTCCGTGTAAAGCCAGCTGGTCCCCGATGTCAAGTGCAATGTGCCAGCCCTACCTGGCTGTCTTCTGGGTGTCTCCTCCTTCCTCTTCCTTATTTATGGGGGTAGGGTACATGTCATGGGGCTCACGTCAGAGGACAGACACCTTTCAGGGAGTTGGTTCTCCTACCATGTGGGCTCCAGGGTGGAACTTGGATTACAATGTGTGGCCAGGAGCCTTGACTGCCTGGGACATCTCCACCTCTTCCTATCTAAGTTAAGATGGGTTTATGATGGCCTTGAGGTCCATAGATAGCTTATTCCTGTCCCAGATCTTTCCTTCGGCGAAATAAACTCATAATTACAAAGGTCGAGATTATCTAAGAGAACAAGATACCATCACTAACAGTGCTCACTTTATTGGCTAAAAGTCCCTGTGCTTCAAGGCTGGACAAGACTGGGCTCATTCATTCCCCATTTCCTTCCATGGTTTTAATAATCTAGCAACACCACCCTCAGAAGCCGCTTCAGACTCTTTCTCTCCCACAGCAACAGTAACACCGCCCTGGTCCCTCCTTCCAGAGAGACCAGGAAACCGATAATGGAGGGCTGATCCCACCCCAGTCCTCCAGACCGGAGTGGCAGCCTCTGGCGCCACCTGGCGATAGTGTCATCGAGTCAAGCACGGCCCCGTCGCGGGTGAGCCGGCCTGCAGATGCGTTTCCCGGCATGCAGTGGCCAGGTTCTCCAGGGACAGGAGGCTTGGGGGGGTGGGGATGCCGCAGTTTGGAGAGCTGAAAACCGCACATCTGGGCGGGGTTCCGCTCTGCACTGATGTCTTCCTGGGCCAACCTTCTGCAAGGCAGGGCTGCCCTTGCTCCCAGGAGGTGACCCAGGAGTGTCTGGGGCGCGAAGGAAAGCGCGTGGCGGCCACAGCGAGCGTGCGTGCGCGCGCGCGCCGCCACCCCCACCCTCCCCGTCGCCGCTCCACGCAGCGCCCCGCGCCGCTCGCGCGCACGCACGCCCCCACGCGCGCGCGTGCCAGCCGGTCACCCACACAGCAGCGGCCGGCAGGCCCCAGCGGCGGGCGCCCCCACACCCACCCCGTGAGCCAGTTGTCCCCCCCCCGCGCAGTGATCTCGCGTGGGCTCAGAAGTGCACAGTTTCCACCCGTCCCTCGGGTGCCGATGGGTGGGAGGCCCCCCAGAAGGCAGGGCGCGCGGTCCGTGGGACTCCAGAGCCCCCCCAGGCCAGGCCGCTCCCACCTGCTAGCCACAGCGACCAATGAAAGCTTGGCCCGGTGATGTCATGGCCCGGCCGGACCCTGGTGGCGATGACAGCCGGAGGTCACCGGTCGGAGGCAATCAGCTCAAGCCCACCCTTGGGGGTTCCGGCCGTTTCCACTGCTGCAGCCGGTCCCCCGCCCCAGCCTTCCGCGCTCTCCGCTGCCCCCGCGGCGGCTCGCCTTGTCCCGGGGGAGGGGTCTCCCGTGAGGACGAGCCCTCGCTTCTCTATCTGTTCCCACAGGTGTCCCTCATCCCCGCGGAGATGCCCGGTCATCCTCTCTCCGCCGGCGGCAGCGGAGGGGGTCCTCAGCCAGGGTTTCACGTGTCTCCTCTCCCGTGCCACCCCCAGGCTGTGTCGCGGTTACAGATGCTCGGGCGTTAGGCCTCTGATCCTTCTGGATCAGAGCCGTCACTGTGTCCTCCCGTCCGGGGAAGTCGGTCTGTCTGTGGCTTGTCACCGCAGGGGACCGTCGCCTGCGTGAGCGGTGTCTGGTGTCTCCGCAGGCTGCGGGCCGCCCGTCCGTCCGTCCGTCACGTGGGTGTCTGCCCGCCGCTGCGGGGCCGCGGGGCCGTCCGTGCGTCCGTCTGACTCCAACACTGGAGTGCGTCTGGGCCCCCACTCCCCGGGGTCTCGCGGCTCGAAGGGAGGGAGGAGGGGAGGTGGCAGCCCGGGGGAGCGGGGAGGGGCGGGGGCGGAGACAGTGGGCGGGCGGGGGCGCCGTGCGGCCCGGAGGGGTGTGTGCGGGGGGGCCGGAGGCGGCTGTCACTGTCGGCTCAGCCTGCGCCGGGGAACGTCGGCCGCCTCCAGCTCCCGGCGCGGCCCGACCCGGCCCGGCTTGGCCGCCTCAGGTGAGTCTCCCAACCCACCCGGGACCCTGCCCCGGCTGGGGACCGATCGGCATCCCGGGAGAACCGGGCGATCCTGGAACGGTCGGAGCCCCCCAGACAGAGACCACTGCGCGGTCTGCCTCCCGGGAGGGCCCCCCCACCGCCCCGCACTCCTCGGAAACTCCCGCTAGCCGCTGCACACTTACTGATGATGCTCGCCCGGCCGGCCGCTGCCTCTGCGCTCTCTGCCTGCAGGGACCCCCTGGAGGCCCATTCCCCACTCTCCTCCAAGTCTGGGGACATTGGAAGACGCCCCCTGTTTGGGGCGGAGCCCAAACTGCGCAGGTTACTGACAACCCGACTGCACCACCCCCCATCCCGAAGGCCGCGACCCCAAAGTCCCTACCCAGCTGAGCCCCTTGCCAGCTCCAGGACCCCCTCCTGCGGAGATTCCGTCCCTATTTTCTTTCTTTCTTTTCTAAAGGGAGGCTCAGCGGAAGCCCCGAGTTATAATTAGCCCCACTCGGGTTTCCTGATTAATCTCCAACAACGCCACTGTCCCCAGATCCAGGCGAACAGGGCTGGCTGGGTGATGGGTGAACGCCCGGAGGGGGTAGTTCCAACCCGGGGAATTTTGATCTTTTGGCTGGAGATGCCGGAACTACAGCAGCTGTTGCCCCCAAAATAGCGCCCCTGCCTTTGCAGCGGGGATCTCCGGAGCTCTGGGAACACAGGCGTCCTGGCTCGCCCTTCAGTCCCCTCTGCGATGCTCAACGATCCTTCAGATCCCCCCACACCAAGGCTCGGGCGGGGAGCGCGGGCCTCTTCTTGGTCTCTGCTGCTCCCGGTTGGCAGCGTCGGGCACTGCAATATGGGGAGGCAGAGGGGCCTGAGTCCTGGGGAGCCCCTCATGGGGCTGGCGAGCCAGTTGGCTGGAGTCAGGCGAGAGGGGTGCGGCTGATGAGAAGCCAAAGGGTACCAACCGGCTGTACCAGGAAGATGAGGCGGAGCAGGGTGGGGCAGGGTGTGGACTGGACGGGATTTGGGGTGCCTTCAGGACCGGGGACTCCCAATACCTTGAATGCCCAACCCACTCCCTGAAGGCTTTGGCCAACCCGGGAGAGACTTGGGCTGTGCTTCCTCACCATAACTTGCAAGCTCCTGAAGCCCCACCCGTCTTTGAGGGCTCCGCCCCTGTCCTGAGGCCTGTGCATGGACTGAGGCCTTTCCAACCTCGGCTGCATGCAGGGGGTCTTAGCGCAAGCCACAGGGGAGGGAGGTATGGGAGGCCTTGGGACTTGCTGGGGAAGGGAGAGTATGTATCAGCCGGTCTTATCTCAGTCGGCTGCACTTGTTGTGGTATGGGTGTGTGTGCGTGTGTCTGATCTTGTATTTCCTCTCGTTTGTCTGCCCGTGTCTTTTCTCCTAGTTTGACTCCATTGCTCCCCTCCCCTCGCCAGTCTGCCCCGCCTCCTCTGCAGCTCCTTGATAACCCTTGGGCGAAACTGTTACTTAATCTCTCTCCGAGCTTCACACATTACCTTTCTTTCTCCAGCAGACATCCGCCTGTCTTGGCAGTCATGAGGCCTTCCTGGTATCCCCTGCACACACCCTCCCTGGCTTATCCACTCCTCTTCCTCCTCCTCTCCCTCCTGGGAGGAGGGGCGGGGGCTGAGGGCCGGAAAGACCCACAGCTGCTGGTGAAGGTCCGCGGGGGCCAGCTGAGGGGCGTCCGCCTGAATGCCCCTGGGGGCCCGGTCTCAGCCTTTTTGGGCATCCCGTTTGCAGAGCCGCCTGTGGGCTCACGTAGGTTTATGCCACCAGAGCCCAAGCGGCCCTGGTCAGGAGTGTTGGATGCTACCACCTTCCAAAATGTCTGCTACCAATACGTGGACACCCTGTACCCTGGGTTTGAGGGTACCGAGATGTGGAACCCCAACCGAGAGCTGAGTGAAGACTGCCTGTATCTTAATGTGTGGACACCATACCCCAGGCCGGCTTCTCCCGCGCCCGTCCTCGTCTGGATCTATGGGGGCGGCTTCTACAGTGGAGCATCCTCCTTGGACGTGTATGACGGCCGTTTCTTGGCCCAGGTTGAGGGGACCGTATTGGTGTCTATGAACTACCGAGTAGGAACCTTTGGCTTCTTGGCCCTGCCGGGCAGCAGAGAAGCCCCTGGCAATGTAGGCCTGCTGGATCAACGGCTTGCCTTGCAGTGGGTGCAAGAAAATATTGCAGCCTTTGGGGGAAACCCAATGTCGGTGACGCTGTTTGGGGAGAGTGCAGGCGCGGCCTCGGTGGGCATGCACATTCTGTCCCTGCCCAGTCGGAGCCTCTTCCACAGGGCTGTCCTGCAGAGCGGTACACCCAACGGGCCCTGGGCCACGGTGGGCGCGGGAGAGGCCAGGCGCAGGGCCACACTGCTGGCCCGCCTCGTGGGCTGTCCCCCAGGTGGCGCTGGAGGCAATGACACCGAGCTGATAGCCTGCCTGCGGACGCGGCCCGCCCAGGACCTGGTGGACCACGAGTGGCACGTGCTGCCTCAGGAGAGCATCTTCAGGTTTTCCTTCGTGCCTGTGGTGGACGGGGACTTCCTCAGTGACACGCCAGAGGCCCTCATCAATGCTGGAGATTTTCAAGACCTGCAGGTGACTAATGGTTGACCAGATTCTTCTGGGTTTCATCCACTCCCCCCCCCCAGAGACCCAAGCATGAGGGCTTACTGCAGATCCGCTGTTAGAGGTCCCAGTGTGTGGGTTCTAAGGTCAGCCCCTCCCTGTGGAGGGTTCAGATCCCATAGTAGCTGCTGGGCACAAAAGAAACTGCGAGTGTGCATTTTTTTTCCTTCTCTCCACGCCTTGTCCCTTCCCTACTCTTGCTCTGTGTAACCCTGACTCTGGAAGGGTTCATCTCTCTGGCTGTTGTTTGTCCGTCTGTCTCCGTCTGCCTGTCTGTCATCTCTCCATCCTTTTCCCGTCTCCAACTGTCCTCAGGTGCTGGTGGGTGTGGTGAAGGACGAGGGCTCCTACTTTCTGGTTTACGGGGTCCCAGGCTTCAGCAAAGACAATGAGTCTCTCATCAGCCGGGCCCAGTTCCTGTCTGGGGTGCGGATGGGTGTACCCCAAGCAAGCGACCTGGCGGCCGAGGCTGTGGTCCTACATTATACAGACTGGCTGCACCCTGAGGACCCTGCCCACCTGAGGGACGCCATGAGTGCAGTGGTAGGCGACCACAACGTTGTGTGTCCCGTGGCCCAACTGGCTGGGCGGCTGGCTGCCCAGGGGGCCCGGGTCTATGCCTACGTCTTCGAACACCGTGCCTCCACACTGACTTGGCCCCTCTGGATGGGGGTGCCCCATGGCTATGAAATCGAGTTCATCTTTGGGCTCCCCCTGGACCCCTCCCTGAACTACACCACGGAGGAGAGAATCTTTGCTCAGCGACTTATGAAATACTGGACCAATTTTGCCCGCACAGGGTCAGTGGTATTGGAGTGGGGGTGGCCTCTGGGGGTCCAGGGGAGGGGATGGAGGGAACTTCAAAGGTGATGCAGAGACAGGCAGGCAGAGTGGGGAGTCCTTCCTTAGACAAAACCAGAGCTGGACACTGGGAAGACAGACCACGGTCCACTCTGTATGTGGCGTTCCAGGCTAGCTCGAAGTACATAGTGAGGCGCTGTGGGGGGAGGGGTTGGAGTGAGTGCTGGAAATACTGCTCAGTGGTAGGTGAGGAACAGGAATATATATGAGGCCATCCCCAGCACTGCAAAACACAGCGAGGCGGCTGGCAAAATGTTCACAAAAGGTAAAAGGGATTGGCACCCGAGCCTGAGTTGGATTCCTGAAACCCACATAGGAGTAGGAGAGCCAGCTCCACAAATTTACCCTCTGACTTCTACCCCCCCCTCCTCACACACACACTAGCTCCACAAATTAATTTACCCTCTGACTTCTACCTCTCTCTCTCTCTCTGTCTCTCACACACACACACACAAATCATCATTATAAAAAATCTCAAAGGTGAGACAATAGGCAATAGAGGTCTGGGTGATGCCTGGATGGGTAAAGTACTTACTTACCTTGCAGGCGCAAACCCTTGACTGCATCAGATTTTGTGTGATCCAGATTAAAGTAAAGGTGATGTTTGTAGAGACAGGACTCCTGCTACCTACACAGCTAGAATTCTTATTTTATTTTGAAATAGGGTCTCAGTATATATCCCTGGCTGACCTGGAATTCTCCATGTAGATCAGGCTGGCCTCAAACTCACAGAAACCCACCTGCCTCCTGCTTCCTGGGTGCTGGGATTAAAAGTATGTGGGTACCACGCCCAACTAGAAATAATTTTTTTAATGGAAGGGTGAAAATAGAAATGGAACAAGAGAACAAAGGGAAGTTGAGAAAGAGACAGAGAAGTCTGGAGGAAAGAAAACACCCCTTGGTGTCCCATGTCTGTAATTCCTGAGCTCTGGGAAACTGAGGCAGAGGCATTGCCAGATTGAGTTACATAGTGAAACGCACGCGCATACACACACACACAGACACACACAGGGGGGGGGGAGACAGAGAGATGGCTGGAGGGGTAGGGGGAAGAGCGGTGAGGGAAGGGTGAAGTGTCTCCACGAGTTGAAGAAGGTTCAGGGTTAGAAAGAGGACCAGCGCCTTCATTCCTTATCCCTCTGGGCAGGCTGAGATTTCCCCTTCCTTTCGCAGGGACCCCAATGACCCTCGAGACTCCAAGTCCCCACAGTGGCCACCGTACACCACTGGAGCGCAGCAATATGTGAGCCTGAACCTGAAGCCGTTAGAGGTGCGGCGGGGGCTGCGCGCCCAGACCTGCGCCTTCTGGAACCGCTTTCTCCCCAAATTGCTCAGCGCCACCGGTAGGCGCGGGGTGTGGGGGCAGGGAACGGACAAGGGTGGGACGGAGGGGAGGGAAAGGGCTGCAAAGACAGGGTGTAATCCCCTCTCTTCTCCACCTCCCCCAGCCGCGGAGGCTCCCAGCACCTGCCCAAGCCCCGCCCATGGGGAGGCTGCCCCCGGGCCCCGGCCCGACTTAGCCCTGTCCCTTTCCCTTCTCTCCCTTTTCCTTCTCCACTCCCGGCTTCCGCGGCTGTGACTGCAGCCTCCCCCGCTCTGGCCGCTAAGGACTCTTACTCTAGTGTGGCTGGGAGGAAGGAGGGGCCCCTCAGGGACACAGCGCCCCACTCCCTTCTCAAGCTGAGACAGCTGGACAGACTCAGGGATCGACACACCTTTGATTAAGCGAAAACTCAAAAACCAGTTTTCCTTTTTAATGTAACATTATCATTTGGAAATGAGCCTGATGTTGAGGGGAGGACGACCCGGGCTAGACGGCGCCAGCCTATGGGGCTGACAACCGCCAACCGTTTCTGTCTTCTTCTCTTTCCCCACCAACCCCGACCCGCTTCCCCCTGACCGTCCCCTCCCTCCCCTCCTCCGCTCCTCTCCTCCTCGCTCCTGCCTGCCGCCCTCCTCCACCCGCTCTCTCCACCGCTCCATCCATTCGGCCCTCCCCGCTGCGCGGCCTCCTCCTGCACCCGCTGGGGCGCCGGGCGGCAGACACGCTGGACGAGGCGGAGCGCCAGTGGAAGGCCGAGTTCCACCGCTGGAGCTCCTACATGGTGCACTGGAAAAACCAGTTCGACCACTACAGCAAGCAGGAGCGCTGCTCAGACCTGTGACCCGGGGACCCCGTGTCCCACCGCCCCGCCGAGCCCCTAGCTGTACATACACTATTTATTTAAGGGCTGGGATGTAACACAACCGAGCCCCAGGCCCTGTCCGCCCCACCCCGCCCTCCTCCCACCAGGGGCTCCCCATCTTCTGCATGTCCGGGGCCGAACCCCCTTCCCCGCGGTGCCTTCGCCCCTCTGGGCCGCCAATAAACTGTTACAGCCACCAGAGTCTGTGCGACTGGCGGGAAGTTGGGGTGGGGACCGAGTGACTGAGACGCTGCCAACAGAAGCCCCAGGATTGGTGCACACTGATGCACCTTTCCGCAACATCCGGCGGAAGCAAGCCCTGGATCCGCCCCTTGAGCGGAGCTTGCGACTGCGCAGCAAGGCTAGCTCGCCCGCGCCTTTTACAAGGCTGAAGTCGGCGTCTGCTTGCATTTTCTGCTTCATGCTTCGGCTCGGTGAGGGCTCCCCGGTTCCACGCGCCCATCCTGCCCGCCGCTGGCCCCAGAAAGGACCGGGAACTCGGATTTGTCCCGCCTCGGTGACAGCTGCCACCGAGCGCCCTGGAGCTGCTGAAGGACGTGCACCTGGGCCTGGCTCTGCCCTGCCGGAGTCCCACCCGACTGGCCCTGCTCTCGGGCCACTACCTTTACTATCACTACGGCTGCGACGGGCTGGATGACCGCGGCTGGGGCTGCGGCTACCGCACCCTGCAGACACTGTGCTCTTGGCCAGCGGGCCAGTCCTCGGGTGTGCCCGGGCTGGCAGCCATACAGGCTGCCCTGGAGAGCATGGGCGACAAGCCACCCGGGTTCCGGAACTCCCGGAGCTGGATCGGCTGTGTGGAAGCTAGCCTCTGCCTCGATCACTTCGGAGGACCTCAGGGGCGCCTGTGCCACGTGCCCCGTGGAGCTGGACTAATGGGGCAACTGGAGCGACTCCACCTCCACTTCATGGAGGGTGGCGGCCCGGTGATGGCAGGAGGGGACGCAGATGCCCAGTCCAAGGCCTTGCTGGGCGTCTGCGAGGGCCCAGCTCCCGAAGCCTATGTGCTGGTACTGGATCCGCACTACTGGGGCACTCCCAGAGACAGGAGCGAGCTGCAAGCCGCTGGGTGGGTTGGCTGGAGAGAGGTAAGCAGTGTCTTTGACTCCGATTCCTTCTACAACCTGTGCTTGACCAGACGTGCCTGACAACGAACCCGCCTGCACACGGAGACACAGACACCCAGCCTGTGCTACCTACCCAGCAAGTTCTAGGCTAGCCAGGGTTACAGAGAGAGACTGTTCTGAAAATAATAAACTGGCATAATTCAGCTCGCTGTGGTCCAGCCTGAGTCTGGGAAAAGGTGTACGGCACAATTAAGAGACACTACCAAAATGCTTTTACTAGCAGGAAAAATAACGTACAAAAAAAATTCTCATCTGATGGGATAAAGTGGTCACGGGTATAGACGGTAGCAGGCGGCAAGGGGACGGCTCAAAAGAAATCCACGTCATCTGGGGCGTCCAGGTCCCGATACTCCACTATGGCCCTCGGGTCTCCTCGAACCATCCTGTGAGATACAGGAAGTGTGGTGTGAACAGAAGTGGGGCGGGCGGGGCGGGGCTTGAGCCTCTCCGTTCACACTCACCTGTTCCGAGGTTTCCCAGGGTATCCTCCTTGGCCTCGAAAAGCATCATAATTTCCGCGACCGGCACCATATGGAGCATGGGGGTATGGAGGCCCTCCTGTTGGGACTGCAGGGCGGACAGCACCAGCTATGAGAAAGACCCAGGATGAACTAAAACCTGACCTCAACCTCAGCCCCCACAAACACCACGCCCCGCAGTGCCCTTCCAGACTAACCTCCGTAGCCCAAGATGGGGGGCCGGGGCTGGCCATATGGCATCAAGCCCTGCGGTGTCTGGTGTGGGTAGGGAAGTCCTGGGGTCAGGCCTGGGGGGAGTACAACACGGACAGGAACGTGAATTACTGCGGGGGGGGTCTAGGAGTAGGGCCTGGGGTCAGTGGGCTGCACTTCAAGGGGGAGATGTGGCAGCCCCCATGGATCGTATCTTACTCTGAGCAGGCCCAGGTGGCTGAGCTGGCTTGATCTCGGGCAAAGCTGGGCGCTTGGCATCCGTGAGGAAATTGTTAAAAAACGCCACCTCCTTCTTGACCTCTTCGATCTTCTCCGCGTGCTTATTGAAGATATGTTTGCGCACAAACTCAGGGCCCTGGGCGGAGAGACGAGGTGAGGGCAGAGCATGCTACAGTCTTTCCTCCAGACCCACCCGAAGGCCAGACAGCCTCCTCCAGTCCTTTAGGGGACTTGCTGCCCCAAAGCCACCTCCCAAGCCACCCACCCATTCTTTCCACGCCCCAGACCTTGAATTTCTTGCCACTGAGAGGACACAGCCACTTATCCTTGCCCAGCTCCTGCGTGTTGGAGGTGACAAACTTCTCCACTTCCTGCTCTGGGTCTTTCCGGCCCATCTTCTGGGCCTCTTCCTCAGAAAGGGATTCCCGCACACTCAGCAGGGGAGTGAGTTTCTCCTCAAATGTCTTCTGCCACTCCAGCACTGTGTAGACAAGAGAGCAGGCTGAGGGAGCTGGAAGCAGGGATAAGAGGAGGGACAGAAGACAGAGGCTGGACACAAAGGACTTGGGGGAGCGGGAACGTACCTTCTCCGTGACTGATTCGGTTGGGCGGCATGGGCCCCCGGACGTGGATTATGCCACAGCGGTTGGGCATCTCGTCCTCATTGGGGTACTCACAAGTGTTGTAATAATCCAGAGAATGCACAATACGCAAATAGAGAAGGAGTTTGTCCAAGACCTGGGGGAGGAGAGACGCAAGGTCACTACTCAGCCCACTCCCCAGCGCCCCGCTCCCCAGATGTCACAGCAGGCACCTTGATCAGCTTCTCATCCCTCTCCACGTTGATCTCTGCGGGGTTGCCCTCCTTGGGAGGCTCCTCAGGAGGGGGCCCGCCACTGCTCCCCAGTAGCTCCTCCTCCTCAGCACTCACTTCCTCAATCAGGTAATCAGTGATGTTCTTCAGGATGGGGTTCTGCGAGGGCAGGCTCTACCGGGGATGACAATGACAATGAGGCAGGAACACCAACCCAGAAACACCAAGAGGGAGGGGCTTCCCACACTCGCCACCTGAGCCCAGGGCATCTAGGATATTCTTGAAAGATGCAGAAGACACCACTGAGACAAAGGGCAAATAAGGTAGCTGTGGGCAGGACCCAGGGGTCACGAAAATAAGAAAGTGAGGTAAGGTGCCAAGTGCGCGCAGTAGGGAGTTTTCCCAGTTTTCAGAGACTTCCCCTTTCTCACTTCTGAAAGTAACCAGTGCACGCAAAAGAAAGTCAGAGGTGACACAAAGAGCCATTGGGTGTACTGGAAACAATCCGAGAGTCACTAACTGCTGGCACAGGAGGTGTCCCGGGCTCAGAGGCCCACAGCTGGGTCCTGTCATCCAGTGTGTGGACCAGCTTGGCTGCCAGCTTGATGTCATTGCGCACTATCTGCTTGTGCTGTGTGATTCCGTTGATGTTGCGGACACGACGGGTCAGGTCTCTGTTCACACCAGGACTCAGTTCACACTCACGGAGCTGTAGGGACACAATCAACAAACTGGCCAAATGACAACCCCACAAGCTGCACCCCGAAGGCTGGGCCTATAAAGAACCTTGGTGGTTAAACCCAGACTCCCCAAAGGCAGGGACCAGAGGGGACTGAACATGGCCCCAGCCCCACAGCTTCCCAGTGGACATGCAGAGCCTGGCGACGCTTCCTGCAGCCCCAAACCCAGCACTTACTCGGATGTTCTGCAGGTTCCAACATATCTCCTTAATGTTAACACTGCGGTCAAAAGTCACCCAGCCACGGCGAAAAAACCTACGTAAGAAAGCTTGTCAGCATGGTCCTGGGAGGCAGCCTGTGTGACGGCAATGCCTGGTGTCCTTGCACAGGTGTCCAATTCCTCACCTCCTCTCAGGCTGGGGCTCCGACAGTGCCACACGCATAAAGCCTGGGTATCTTTTACAAAGCTGCAAGAATCGAGGAAAGAGAGAAGTCACAGTGACTCAACCACTCCTTGTCTCCGCCCCTTTAGAACCCTAAAGAAGTGCCCTTCACCAGGCAGTGGTGCCCACACCTTTCTCCCAGCACTCGGGAGGCAGAAGCACAGGAATCTGTGAGTTCAAGACCAGACAGGGCTGCACAGAGAAACCCTGTCGTGGGGGGTGGGGAGTGCCCTTCGTCCTCCAACACCCAAGAACCACAATGCACACCAAACCAGGCCTCCCTATGCCAAAGGCAGCCTGTACCTGAAGGATCTGAGCCTCGGCCAGCCCTGCCCCCAAGACCAATGCCCCCACTTACAGAGATGATCTCTGCCCTGGAAATGTTGGGGGCAATGTTGCGCATGAAGAGAGAGCAAGTCTTGTGCAGGGGCCGGGGCTTACACTCCAGCCCTGCAGCGTCCTTGGGCTTCTCCTTCTCTTCGTCCTTGGGCTTCTCCTTCTCTTTAGCTGCTTCTTCTACGCAGGAAGCAGGGTTAGCACAACTCTGCCACCAGCCACCACCCAGCGGACCCTCCCCACCAGTCAGGCTCTGGAGCAGGCTCTCCGCCCCCGCCCCCGCCAGCCCCCACAGGAAAACAAAGGCTCAGAAGCAAGCCGTGGAGCGCACCAGCCTCCTCTTTCTCCTCCTCAGCTTGGCCGCTCTCCGACTCTGACTCGGACTCCGACGCGCTGCCCTCGTCGAAGCTGTCGTCACCGCTGTGCTTGCGGTTCCGCTTCGTGCCCTGCGGGGCCATGGCAGCAGTCAGCACCACCCAGGGTTCCCCCACACGGCCTCACGAAGATAACACCTCACCTTCTTGGCTTCCTTCTCAGCCTCTTCTTTCTTCTCCTCCTTGTCCCCGTCACCCTCAGATTTCTTCGTTTTATCATCATTGGAGCTGTCATTTTCAGCCTACAAGAGGGGAGTTTCTGAGATGTCACCTTCCCTTCTGCACAGAGCCCCCGGCTCCGGCTCCTCTGCCCGCCCCTGACCTGTTTGCCATCTTCTTTCTTCTCCTCCTTCTCGTTGACCTTGCGCTCTCCGTCCCCCGGGCCTGGTCCAGCACGGCCTTCCTCCTTCTTGCTGGCCTCCCCAGTCTTGCCCGCCTGTTCCTCCTCTTCCTCCTGCTCCAGGATTCGGAGGTCATTCTCTGTGCCACCTTCCATCTTAATGACAGCTACCAACAACAAGAGCAGAGGTCATAACCAACAACTCTGGCTTCTACTCCCAGCCACGGCCTCCCCAGCCTCTAAGCACACACCTGCATCTAACATCTTCACAATGGCATCAGCTTTGTCTATGTCCAGAAGAAGGTTATCAAACCAGCCGCTCTCCATGAGGGACAGGAACACCCTCAGGCGGTTCTGCAGGGCCCCCCGGGCCTCCTGCCGACGCTTTCCCACCTCATCCGGGTGGTACTTAGATCGGAACCTGGGACAGAGGCAAGCAGGGCGGGAGAAGCAAAGGACTTACCGCAGGCCCAGGCCAGGCTGTGGGGGCCAAGAAAGGCGGAGCACAGCCTCTCACCCACAGAAGGTAGTAACATCAAGAAGGGGTGTACTAAAACCACCCAACACCCCAAAAGGAACGAGAGGTGCTCTGGAAAGACGTGGGGGAGAACCAGAACTGAGAGCTCTGTTAGGGCCATGGCTGTGGCCAGGGTTACGGGGCAGCTCTTCTGCTGTGGGAAGAAGCACTAGTGTGCCAAGGTTTCCTTCCCGATACTTCACAGGAAAGCTAAGGGAGCAGGAGCCCCCAGAGAACCTCCCTCTCCTGGCCGAGCCCAGACGAGGTTCCCGCCAACTCCCTCCACCCCAGGTGGAGCCAGAAGGAACCCTGAAGTGTACCAGATAGAAAAGGCCAAAGGCAGGACACCTTTCTTCCCTAGTGGGACGACAAGGCGGTGAGGGACAGGAAAGAGGTGGCCAAGTGCCCGCACGGCCGCAGACAGGCCGCGGGAGGAGAGAGGGCTGAGGCTAGGGTTTGGGTAGAGTATGAAGGAAACCATTTTCATAGCCTGAGGTAGGGGAGGAAAGGCAAACAGAAGGAATTGGGGTATGAGAGAAAGAGAAGAGGAGGTATGAGGAAATGTAAGGCGGGCCCAGAAACCTAAAACACAGACAGACAAGCTGAGAAAAGAAAACAAGAAGTGTTCAGCGGAGAGCAAGACCACGGACAGAATAGAATGAAGGTTCATGAGCCATCCAAAGACACACAGGGCAATCAGAAGGGGCACACAGGACAGGACAGGACAG